AAACTAAGTAACATCATCACTGCATTGATGATGTTATCTAGTTCAGTAATGAAACATCTGCAAGAAAACCACCAGGCTCAAGAGAGAACTGAGGAGCCCACAGTTCAACCCTAATCTACAAATATTCTCTTTTGAAGGATGTATACTTATTGCTAACATACAATAAAATATAGAAATCTTAGATTTGATAAGGCTTGTTCCTTAACAAGATCAGGGAAAAAAAATTAAGATGATTAGATATTGCTTGGAAATTTCTCATAATCCTACACTCTCCTTAAGTTTTCAGGTGGTAACAGTAATAAGGAGTGTGTTTCTATACATATTTTTAGTTCGGCAATTGTAGTCATACATACATCATTCTTTTTATTACATGACATTAAGATTATTGCAGCATATTCTATGTGCAACTATCATTAGATTATTTTTATTGCTAATTCCATTCACTCTGCTGAATGCTTCTTTTATAATCCATATAAATCTCTCGGTGTTTCAATCTTTTTATCTTCATCTTGCTCTCTTTAACTACAGTATAGTCCTTTCTCTCTGTACTAAAAAAAAGTTTTTTTCTTTGGATTTTCCCCAAAATCCACTCTTTATAGTCTCTTCTTTTGCCATATGTTCTTATGAACAAATGTGGTTAAACTACATATTTAAAATTAGCAGAATGTCTTTAAAGCAGGTAATCAGCAGTCACCAATCTCATTAATTTTTGGGTCTCTGAATGGCTCAGTAACCTTTTGTGTAATCCCTTATTTTGGTCCAACTAATCCATTCATGTCAGTTAACAGAATTACTTTTTCTAGATCACATTCTTTCAGAATGTTACACTGTTTTTTCAAAAAATCATCCCTGATTCCTTCATTGCTATTTACTGGAGCATGACATGCAATTAATATCAACAAATGAATTTTTATCTTCACACAAGCTTGCAGCAGTCTATGGCATACAAATTCATACTTCATGACAATGAAATGAAACCTACATTTTCATAACCATATATGTATTTTAAAAAACTTCTCTGATACATCCTTCTCTTTTGCCTCAGTTTCACAAACACACTACTTACCTATTTTCCTCTCTTTCATTAGATTTGTTCATTTATGTTCTTTACCATTTAATCCTCTTACATTGCAAGTTACAATCTTCTTTTCCTGTGGCTGTTTCCAGATGTTCCCAAAATATAGATCTTCATTGTCCAATATTACTTTGATTAATTGAGCTTCCACATAATTGTTATTGTAAGAAAAGAAAAAGTAGACTAAATTAGCAGCCTTAGTCATATAATATTCCATGCTCATGAGAAGAACAGAGTGTAACCAGGTTTCAATCCACTTTTTCAGTATTGTATTACACATTTTTCTATATGCCATAAGTGTAACTAAGGTCCAGTTTTTCCTCTAAGCTGCATGCTCATTCTGTTCTGTGCATGCTAGAATCTTTATTCTAAGAACTACCTCCAAACCAAGGTATTTGTTAAGTGCAGGAAACCAAAAATGACACATGTAAAAGATCCAAGCAATTTCTTTATTACATATTCACCCATAGACAAAATCTTGCCGGACTGAAGCATACTCTCCATTAGCTATTTGATAAAATGCTGGGAAGAAATCAGGGAAGATCCCTCCTATGCTACTCCTGTACCACTTCCTGCACAGCATTGACTCAAGGCTAATGTTTCTCTTTATTCCTCTCTTCTGTAACTCAGCGCCTGATTCCACCACAGTACTGTTGACCAAAACCCACCAACTAAGAGGTGCAGGTATTGACACACTGAGGGATTTTCCGTGTTTTTGTGAGGGATCTTTACCTTACATACAATTAATAGCTGAAGAATCAATGGTATTGTGAATTGATATGAAAGAGCTAAATAGCATGTAGAATTGATGTTATCTGGTAGGTAAAAGTTTTTCCTCTCACTACTACTTCTTCATTTTGTTATGATATTTTTAGTACCAACAGCTGTACATTTAATTAGATTTCATTCAAATAATGTGTAAAGATACGTAGATTTTCAATTGATTCTTTTTTTTCCTCTTTTTCAGTTTTGTTTTTGTCACATTTGTAAATACACTATTTTCTTTCAAGATAAGCCTGACATTAAATGTTCCCATATAATCAGGAGTCTGTGCCATTTAATTTCAGTTGAGAATCTACTAGAGCAAGTCCAGAGACAAGGTAAGATCTGAACATGGATTTTGATATTGATTGGGATGAATGATCATCTCAGCTGGATTAGGAGTAATCAACTGGTTCAACCTAACCAGTAAATTTCCATGGCAAAGGGTGAACTTAAACTTGAGTCAACACTTTAAACATTACACCATACTAGTTCTCTCAAATTGAGAAGTAAATATTTCCTTTGAAGGCATTAATAAAACTGCTGCTTTCACTTCACATAAAAGTCAAGCGTTGCAGTTACTGTACTAAAGAAAAAAGAAAAAACTCCTAAAAGTGCATGTATTTTTTCTGACTGGACTGACCTCACTTTACTCCCTCCAAACACATTATATTGACTGTATTTCTAATAAATTATTAAATAATGCAGGCTATTGATACTGAAGGCCTAACTATTATCAAAAAAATATTCCTTTACCAGTTAGAAAGTTCATGATTATTGTATCATATCAGAATAGTTAAACCATTAAGTATTGACAGAAATAGTTAAAAAAATAAACAATCCACATTTCTGTATGAAAGTTAGATACAATTTATGTAATTTTCCAGCTACAAAATAGAAGTTTTGTGTGCTTCCCTTGGGTTTTCAAAATTTCTCTGGTAGCATAGCAAATCCGAAAGTTATAGACCAATAGCGGTTTCTTTATTTGGAAAAAAGATAATTTCTTTTGTCTGAGGATGGCTAGTAAGTGTTAGCTTGAGGCATTTTTAGCTTTCCATCTGTTACACAGAATTTGTTAGGTCCAAAGCCAAAGATGAAGCAATGAAATCAATCAGTTCTTATATCTAATGTGCAAGATTTTACCGAACTGAAGTTGTAATTCACTAGTCTGATAGATATATCCTAAGATATTGTAGGGCATAGCTACTCTGAATCTCTGGACTGAGCAGTCTCTTAATCTGGGCTTCTTTCTTATGACATCTACTGCCTCATCCCTGGGAAAACTTTGTGTTGCCAAAACTCCTCTCCTGATTCTCCAGGTACATATTCCATCACAACTTGATTACCAACTAGAGACAACCCATGACACTTTAGACCAGGGGTGTCCAACCTTGGCAACTTTAAGACTTGTGGACTTCAACTCCCAGAATTCCTCAGCCAGGAGTTGAAGTCCACAAGTCTTAAAGTTGCCAAGGTTGGACACCCCTGCTTTAGACATTGTTTCAAAGATATTCCTAAACTGATAACATAAATGACTATGGGTTGGCAAACAAAAAACAAAAAAAAAATAGTGAGAGTGGAGTGAGTTCTGACTTCCTGTTGGCTTTCTTATTGACTTAGCTTGTGGGAAGCAGGGAACATCAGAAAATGTAGCATTGCATGGTGGTGCTGCAATGGCCACAATTTTGCCTCACAATCTGTCTGAAAATCCTTAGAATTTCAATCCCATTGTCCTGGATTTTGGATGCATTAAGTTGGCCCATATGAGGTACCAAAAACTTTTGCCCTATGATGCACTGTTTCCCCCAATTGAAGGTTACAAACCACAAATAGGAGAGTTTTGGTTGTATATATATGATTCATTCTATAAAGCAGGGGTCTCCAAAAGGGGTGGGATTCTACCTGGTCGGACCAGTTCTATAGAACCGGTTGTTACAATTCTGCCCAGTTCAGAGAACCGGCAAATCGCGCCATTGTCTGGTCCCGTGCCTCCCCTCCCTACCCACTCACTCCTTACTTGGCATGCATGCCATCAAACTTGCCTGCGTTTGGTAAGTTGCTATTTTTCCTTTTTTTTTTCTTCCAACCATCAGCTGTTCTGCTGTGCCGGAAAATTTGGAGTAGCTAGAAATCAGGAAATCGTTGGATTTCTTGCTTTCTAGCTAGTCTACAAGCAAAGCTGAACCTCCTTTAGGACTGAAGCTTCTATTTTTCAGTGCAGACTCAGGCAGCAGATTGCAGAAAGGTAGATCTCTGAGTGAATCTGTGACTCTGCGAGCAACTCAATTTGCCTGTCTGCTTTGCTTGATTTTGGGTAAAAGTTGCTCTTTTTTTATAAAAAAATTCAATATTTACATAAATATTTATATACAAGCCACGCCCAGTTAGTCACGTGACCACTAAGCCACACCCACAAATTAGGCCATGCCTACAGAACCGGTTGTTAAGAAATTTGAATCCCACCCCTGGTCTCCAATCTTGGCAACTTTAAGACTTGTGGATTTCAACTCCCAGAATTCCTCAGCCAGAAAAGCTGGCTAGGAATTCTGAGAGTTGAAGTCCACAAGTCTTAAAGTTGCCAAGGTTGGAGACCCCTGCTATAGAGTGTAAAGGAGGAAACGCTGATAAGCCATTATATAATAAATACATAGAAACATGAGAGCCAGGACAGTGTGGTGGTTCCAATGTTAGATTAGATTTAGGGACATTCTTTAAGTGTACTTTCACCCACGGAACTTATAAAGTGACTGTAGCTTAGTCACTTTTTTCAGGCAACCTACCTCTTGCACTTTTGTGGAGATAAAAAGAGGAGATTGTCAGTAACTGCTTTAATTTCTTGAAGAAATGGTGGCATATATTTCTAACAAAAAAATAAAATGAGCAACAATGGATGCATATTATAATTGTATTATTTTATCTCACTTGTTTGCCATCAGGCTACATATAAACAGCTGATTTCGATACTATTATTAATCTAATACTTATGTACTTTCAGGGAAGAAAATACCTATTCATTATGAATTCATCTAACTATTCTTTGCGGAACAAATCTGATTTAATACAAACACTAATAGCAGTAAAAACAGGCCTTTATTTCGTTAATTTCACCTTCACTACCACTATGAGTATATTGATAATTAATATTGTAAGACAGAATTACAAAATGAGGAAAGAAGTCAGATACTTCTTTCTTTGCCACCATCTCATTGGCTCTACTTTATTCTGTGCTTTTGGCGTTATAAGCAATGCAATACAAACATCCCAAGTGCAGACACTCTGGATCTGGATCATCTTCAGAGTACAAGCAGCAACTGCAGAATCTGTCGTCATTACTTTAGCTTTGATGGCTCTCAATACTTGCCTTGCAGTTTGCTGGCCTTTGAGATACTTGGCATTTGTGCACTCAGTGAAAAATAAAGTGACAGCTTCTATTTGGATTGGGACTATATTCAAATCTATATTATTGATCATTATTGAAGGTACAGAGCAAAACCCAGAGGAAATTTTTGAAGAGGAACCCTCTTGTCCTACCATGCTTGGTGGCAATTTTGCAAAAATATCTGGTCTTCTTCTCATATCACTTCTTGCAGCTGCCATAATGACTGGTTACATCTTATTGTGCAGAGAAGGAAAACTTTCTGGTCATTTTAACTCTTCAAATAAGAAAGCCAGAAAAACCATTATTATTCATGGCTTGCAAATGAGTTTTCATATTCTTCCACCCTTGATTATTGGAGCCATTGGAAAAGGAACAGAACACACAGAAATAAAATTTGGAGCTTTTGTGATTTTCTCCTTTGCACAAAGCTTTAGTCCCGTGGTTTATGGACTTCGTAATAAGGAAATGCTGGAGAAACTATGCATCAGAAAAAAAGGAACTCAAGACAATAACTACTTGGTAAATAATAATAGCAACCCACTGCAGCTTCAAATGACTGAAAATCCAGTAAATGGAAAAACAATTTCTCTATGTAATGTATAAATGTCTCAAAGGCAAGTAATATATATAATAAATTGGGTGTTTATGTTTCTGAATATATTTCTGGATTATAACTCTTGGATGCTTCAGAATTATATAAAACACATGCAATGATTCAACTCAACTGAATATATAGAGTTAAAAAGTTATATTGGGCATTTCAAGGCCAGTGAAATAGCCTATCTACAGCTCAGTAAAGATTCATAACCGACTTGGGAAAACAACAGCCAACTGCAGATTCCTCACTTATCTGAGAAAAGGGCAGCCAATTTGTTGGTTCACAGAAATACTGTTACTAAGAAACTAAAAAAGTCCCTGTCTTAATCAAATTGGTTTCTAAAGTGAAAGCAATTCTGTTAATGAATATTCTCTCTCTCTTATCTCATTTCAACGGATTATACTTTTAATCAAGGGCTTGGCTGACATACCCAGCTAGGATCTTGAAGTGCTACATTTTTACTTCAAAGAAGGGTTGAACACAAATCCAGGTCTACGTAGAGTCCCAAGTCTCATTTTTTTCAGCCTCAAAACACTTTCAGACCACACTGTTCAATTGTGATGGTATTTGGTGGAAAGCATCCTTGAGGGCAGCAAGCTATTTTGTCTGTGTTGTCATGCTTTGATTTATATTTGTACTTTTTTTGTTTAATAAAATATTTGTTTAAATAAAAATGTTTCCTTTGGCGTGCCCACTCTCCCCTCTCTCACCCCCCCCCCCCCTCCCCTTTTCGCCCCCCCCCCCCCCCCCGATCTGGCTTTGTGAAGCGCTTTTGCAGAGAAGGTATCTATGGATGTTCTCCTAAATATCATCAGTCATTTGTTTCTCAGCTATTGTTTTTTTCATTGAAACAGAACATATTTTATTTCATTTTATTAAGATCCTAATCCTTAGATAAGCTATTTTTTTGCTCTCTCATCAGTTTTTTTAAAATCTGCTTTATTGATAGGCCATGGTCTCATGACGGCTATTTCGTGAAAACACTTATACCCATCATTTCAGATGTGTTTGTAGGCCCCAAAGGTTTGGGAACTAGACATCCAAAATCATAATCCAAATATATATTCCTGTGTAGCTCTGCATTAGAAAGGCCTTTCAACATGTTCTTCAGAAATATGCTTCAAGCAATCTTGCATCATTATTACTGACATTGGGAGTGAAGGCAGAGAGATAATTTAGTCTTCTTTCTCCTCTGCCCTCAATAACCTTCCTGGGTGAAATATATGTGAGGAAATGAATCATTTGCAGCAAGTCATGCACATTTGGAATTGATTAGCATTAGGAATTGATCTTTATACAATTAATTGTAATATTAAGGTAAAATGGAAACATTTGGTATAATTATGAATGAGAGACTGGTTAGAATGCAATATGGTTGGTGGTTAGAATGCAATATTGCAGGCTGACTCTGCCCACTGCCAGGAGTTCGATATTGACCAGCTCAAGGTTGACTCAGCCTTCCAACCCTCTGAGGTCGATAAAATTAGGGCACAGATTGTTGGGGGCAATATGCTGACTCTGTATTCTGACCCAGCCTTTGCAAGTAGTGATAAGACGTTTTCTCACGAGTACAACAAACCCCTTTTGATAACAGGGCAGTCACAGTCTTTTATTCATAGGGATAAACAAAAAAGCAAACATAATTAGTCCCAACAAACCTGGGTTTATCCAAGAAATCCGAATTGCTTGTATACTAGAAATGAACAGTTGTCGGAAATAACCGGCCACTCCCAAACCCCTCCTATTTATTTCCCAGCCAGGGAGGAACTGGCTATCATCTGCATCTACCTCTCCCTGTGAGCCAACTTACTGTTTTCCTTTGCTCAGCTCTCTTTTCCTCTCTGCACATATGCGCATCTGGGATGGGCTCCATCTGTTCCTCCCTCTGTCAACTCAGGCCCCAACACAGCTGCCACTCTACCTGGGGGAGGATGGAAGGCCCCGGCACTGCCTCTGTCTCTGTCTTATCACAGCCTTCCAAAGGCTCCGAAGCTGGCCCAGGCTCTCCCTCCACCTCCTCCTCATCTGACTCTGCAGCTATCTCTGCTGGCAGCCAATGGGCCACAACACTCTGTAAGCCACCTAAAGAGTGCTGTAAAGCATTATGAAGTGGTCTATAATTCTATGGTTATTTATTGACAAATCAATTTTGTTCCTCCCTCATAAAATGTATGACCAACATTTGTAAACACAGGGCTCTCACTACTCGGAAGCAAACTAAGAAAGATAGTAAGAGTTTTTGCATCATACGCAGCCTTGACTAAAAGAAGTTGCATGTGGTTAGGTATTATCTGAGATTTACTTGGAAGTGTATTGCTGAAAAGTAATGGAACAAAAGCTGTTTGCATAGTATAAGTATAATTAGGAGAAATACTTCACTCCATCATATAGTTCACCTCATTCCGACCAAGTTTACCTAAGCCATGCAGATCCTGAGAGTTCAAGTTTTCTTCTCTTGTTTATAAGTAGATGCTTTAAACAATTCTTTGGTGTGTGTATACCATAAGCACAATTCTAAGAATATATTTATTATTCTGATCTCCCAGTCAAGGCTCAGACCAAGTATACGCCAAAAACTACATTAGTTCTTCTGGTGAATGGCTTACATCCTGCCCTGAATGGAATGCACTCCTGTTGGTCTTGCTAGATCATCCGGGGGGTATTCAGAACCTATGGGCATACACACGCATAAATATATTTGATCAACCATAAAGAGTTGGGTGGCAATATTGTGTAACAATAATAGACCTGAATAAAATGTAATAAAATTATATTAAAACAGTATAACAAAATAAAATTGTTAAACATATGTAAAATTCTATTGTTACTGAATGTGACATAACTCATCCTGAGCATAATATTTAGTCTTCATTATTGCAAATCATATTCTATTCTAATTTATGTTCATTAATAGCAGTGGAACAACATTTTGCTACATTATAGGAAATGTTAGTCTTATTGTCTTACAAGAGAAAAGCAAGATAAAACTTATCTCAACATCCTGGCATGTGTTCCAAAAAGGGAGAGATACAGCTACCTTGATAATATGAGCAGAACAACAAAACAAATTGATGATTTCTGTGGAATTAGAATTGCTGACACAAGTTCTTCTGGAAAAAGGAATTTTGGCAAATTGCCATTGAGGATGGCTGAATGAAAACACCATGTCTGGTTTTTTAAAAGGTTCACTGCTGAGCAGGGAATGTGTATAGTTAATCATCTACTCGGTTCCCATCCAAATACTCCTTGATATGATGTGAAATTGAACTAACTTCATTGTGTTTTCTTCCTCAAGAAACCCAACCTTAATAATTTGAAACAGGACAATATCTGGTCAAGAGATATTGAGTCAAAGAAAGACCATTTTTTGTATAACTGGGAGATACCTAGAACATTGAAATTGATCAATCAAAACTAGAGGGATTGATCCGGTTGGGAAAACATGGCACAGAATCTCAGGTGGAATCCTATAGTAAATATATATTTACTATTATATAGTAAATATATTACTATATTTACTATTTTAAATATAGTAAGGCTCCTGAAAATTCAAGCAGAAATCTTAGCCACAAGTCCAAGGCAAAAGATAATAGTTAATTATAATTCCTTTTTTATCTCTACCTGACAGTCTAAGCTAGTAGTAATTTGCCCCATCTCAGTGCCAGGCCTAAAGCCTGGTTTGTTCAAGAATATATAACAGCTAAGTAAGACATTATAGTATAAGGCCATCAATAATCAATAAAATCTTAGCCAGACTTCTCATTATAAGTTAACAGAACATTTAAAAACAAAGTATAAAACTTTCTTGACAACAAAGGAATGGGTGGTCCAGTGACTTCATGCTAAGAATTCTGTTCTTTTTTTGCAATTTCCAAACATAAGAGCTGGAGCCAATCTCCTTAAGGGAACTATATGCCCGTTGAGCAATATAGTCTCAGGCCCTTTATAATGCATATAAGGAGCAACATAGCCTATTAAGCTTGAGTCTAGAAGAACCTATAATACTCTTTCTGATTGTCTCATTGTGACAGCATCAGAAATTCAAAAATGTTCACTGAAATTTGACAAAACTCCCAGAGTGGATCCTATCTGCTGCAAAGCTTTTCAATACAAGATAGCCTGATAGAGTCCTGTTTTGACTTTACTCTTCGCATACATAGTTCATACAGGATGTATCCCCCAAGACTGGAGCTAGGCCCATAATTTAAAAAGGAAAAGAAAAGAACTGGCTAATTATAAATGTATTAGACATCTAAGCATAACTTTGTTGGAAAATGCAAGACTGGATAAAGGAAGAATCCAGGGGTGGGATTCCATCAGTATAACAACTGGTTCGGTGATCACGCACGTACTCCGCATTACAAACAGCTCTAATACTTACATTCTACAGCAGTCCCCCTGAAGAAAACAGATGAGGAGCGGCAAACCACTCTGCCGCGCGAATCAGCTGTGCTCTAAACAAAGGAAGTAAAGGACAGGAAAGAGCAGGGGTGGGGGACAGTCCCACATGCTCATCGCAATGAACCAAAGCAAGGGTTTCACCCAAACCGGTCCGAATCAGTAGAATCCCACCCCTGGAAAAATCTATATTAAATAGCAAACAAGCACATTTTGGGGTCATTAATTATGATATCTTCCTGGACTGTTTTCAGGAGTCATGAATAATGCTTTATTGTCCACTCCAATGTGGGCAGTTCCAAACTATAGTTATATGGGAAGATTGGCCAACTCAGAAGAATTGAGGCCTTTGAACTATGGTGCTGGAGAAGACTCCTGCGAGTCCCTTGGACTGCAAAGTGATCAAACCGGTCAGTCCTAGAGGAGATCAACCCTAACTGCTCTGTAGAAGGCCAGATCCTGAAGATGAAACTCAAATACTTTGGCCACCTAATGAGAAGGAAGGACTCACTGGGTAAAAGCCTAATGCTGGGAACGATTGAGGGCAAAAGAAGAAGGGGACAGCAAAGAATGTGCTGGATGGACTCATTGAAGCAGTCGGCATGAG